CACACACACACACACACACACACACATACATTCACACACACACACACACACACATTCACACACGCACACACATTCACACACACACCCACCCACACACACATACACACATTCACACACATACATTAACACATACACACACATACACACACACACACACACACACACACACGTTCACACACACATACTAATCGGCCCTCAAAAAAAAAAACAGCACTATTTTATTTGTTTTTTTTTCATTCCTTGATTATTTCCTTATTACACAACAACAAAAAAAAAAAACATAAAATCGAAGAAGACAAAGAACAATCAACAAAAAATCCCCCTAAAATTTTTTTATTTTTTTTTTAAATTCTCTTCTCCACCTTTTCTGTTTTTTATTTTTTATAATTCCCTAGAATTAGTAGTTCCCTTGACAAAAAAAATATGGAGTTGTAGGGTGTGAAAAACCCTACAATCCCTTTTTTTTTGTTTCCCCTATTATTTTCGGCGAGAAAAATCCGTGAAAAACGTGGCCGCTGTGTGGCCGACCCCAGCCGCGGCCGCGGCCCTGAATGCGGCCGCCCTCCGAGTTTGACCCCGCGGCCGCGGGCGCAACATCGAGAGGCAGACAACGACCAGCTTCTTGCCCCAATTGGGTTGACGGGGGAAAAAGCAGAGACATGCAAGAACTGCCATGGTACTGTCGTAGTTTCAAAAGTCAGAAGCTTGACAGTACACACCACACTCAAATCTTTCCTGCTGAATACGACCGTAATAAGGCTAAGAATGCAGCCAGCAAATCCCCGAGGGATTTTGCCCCTCGAGCCCACGTCCACCAACTACTAGTTCTCCTCTTGCTCCTCCTCAATCGCACCATAATTAGCCCAGGTAGCAGTCGATTCCCAAAAATCCGAGAGCAAGCATGGGCGGGCTTAACTACCCCTAATTCCCTGTTTCTCGCTCTGGTCCTGCTGAATCCGGCCATAATCAGTGCAGTAGCGCATCCTGGAAAAGGCAGAGTAAGTATGGCCAGATGTGGTTGCCTATTTCTCCTTCTGCTGCCGCTGAATCAGACCCTAATGAGGGAAAAAATGAATGATTATCCCGGTAAATCCCCCACTGAGTATGCCAAGACCCAGGTCTATCCTCCCCACCCGACAGTTGAAATTCTTACGGAATTCTTTTTTCGTTGTCCTGATGAATCAGACCGTGATTAAGCTAAGACATCCTGAACGTGACTCCCAGAAAATCGCAGAGCGAGTATGCCCAGTTCTTTCTTCTTTTGTAAGAGCGGTTGACAGCGTTCAGATGTTACATCCGGCAGGTCTAACTGCAGGTACTTGCCTGATTATCTTCTTCAAAATAAAGTAAACGAAAAAGCAAACAAAAAAAAAAGAGCAATTCCCCCCGCAGCAAAATAACGTTAAAACTGCCGCTGGGGAATCCCAGTGTTAGGAGGCCCTAAGAATCCACGACGACCTGGTCTATACCTATGTCCTACATCCCTTGCGCGGGGTGATCCTTCCCCCGGATTCTCCGTTCCTGGTCGTTTATCACCGTAATAGACGCTCACTTCCCCTAGATTCTCCGTTCCTGGTCGATTGTCTCCATAATCGACGGTTACTAAGCAAATGGAAACTTAAGTGAAAGGACCGCGGGAACGCTAGAGAGCGAAAGCGGAACGACGAAAACTCAGGGAGGGGAAAAAAAAAAAAAAAAAGAATCAACCCAAAAAAAAGAAAATATGGAATCAAGGAGTGGACGACCTTTGTTAAGCGTCTTCTCCCTTTTTTCTTTCCTGTATGTGGCATGTGCGTCTCGCCGTCTCCCTTTCCTTTTATCTCCGTGGGTGCGCGTCCTCTCTCTCTCTCTCTCTCTCTCTCTCCCTCTCTCTCTCTCTCTCTCGCGCGCGCGCGCACAAACAAGCTGGAAAGAGAAGAAGACGGAAGAGAAACACGGAAAGACCATATCCAGAGAATCAGAGATCGCCAAGTAAGTGAACGAGTTTGACACGCCAGTTAAATCCCTGCAGCAATAGAACCCTCAAACAGCACACTCACAGGAAGACTTCTTTGAGTGTATCCCCCCTTAACGAAGGTCAGACTTAGTCCATGAACTCCTTTGGGTATACCCAAAGACCAAAGAGTCGGCAAAAGGAAACAGAGAGGTTGCAGAAGACAAGACGGGAAGAGAATACAGACGACGGTGGGGAAGTTGAAAAAAGGGCAGGCCATTACTGGAAGCAGAAGTTCGGAGGGGAGGGAAGGAACATGAAGAGAATGGAGGGAAAAGTCAGGAGGGAAGGGGAGAGAAGCAACAGGAAAACAAGTCCACCTACCTCCTTGAAATGAATGAACTACGTTCAAAGAAAGGGAGGCGCATAGAATTATCCTTCCTCTTGCTTCGTGTTCCTTTCCTCTTCCGTCATCTGACAGAATAAACCCGGCGTATGCTCCTCGATCCGGCAGCCGGTACTGATCTCACCCTATTCTACGCTGCACCGCAGACTTCTCCCCATTCCACGGCCTCCTCTTACAGGTTGTCGCCTGGCGGTTGTTTGTTTCGTTTTCTCACTCGCCTCTGCAGGATTCTCTCTCTCTCTCTCTCTCTCTCTCTCTCTCTCTCTCTCTCTCTCTCTCTCTCTCTCTCTCCTCGCACACGACGATGATGATCCTACACAAAGCTGCGCGGCACTCGAACGCGTTCTATGGGGAGGAGAGCACCAAGTCTGAAACGCCAGAAATGCGTAGAGCAAATAACGCCATCCCGTAGTCACCCCGTTGGGCGTTGCCTCAAAATATCAGCGACCTAGAAAACACGTAAGAAGTGCGAAAGATGTGAATGGTTGGTAAACAGACTTGGCACCCGGGGCCATACACCGTTGAGTTAGTTCAACGCTAGTTCAACGTTGAACTAGCTCAACGCGTGTGACCCCACGCGAAGTTGGAGATGCATAGGAGCTGCATATCTAGCGGTTTGTTTTCAGATGTGAGAAATGAAAAGACTTTTGTTCTTTTTTTTTTTCAAGAAAGGTGGTGAAAAATCCCTGCACCCGAATACAAAGCCCCCTACCCTCCCCATCGTCCGTTGAACTGGGGTATGGGTTCGACGGTGTTTCCCATGCTGCATCATATTTATTCATATATGTTTCGTGAAAAATAGTAGTGGCGTCATCATTGTTATTATTGTCTGATTGCTGCATCCTCTATATTCCTCTACATTCCGTGAAAATAGTGGTGGCGTCATCATTGTTATTATTGTCTGACCGTGGGCCTCCGTTCAATCAGGTAGTATTTGTCAGCCAGAACGCCCCTCAACATATGCCCCTTCCTTAGTGGGCATACGTAGTTATGTATTCACCCCGCTTTCTGGTGAAGGTTTTTTCCCGCAATTCTGTAACTTGAGTGGGCCACACCTTTGGTGTATGCAGCAGTGGGCCACACCTTTAGTGTATGTAGCCATGTTCCTGGTTGTGGTCCTTCCCACGATTGAAAATCAAAGTGGCCCTATTCCCATGGTTCTGCATGTGAGCGATGTATGTTGCCCTATCTCCTGAGTAAATGCACCATGCCTTCATTGTGCTGCTCGATCTTTTTTCCTCTGTATGTTGCCCCATTTCCTGAGTAAATGCACCATGCCTTTAATGTGTTGTTCTATCTTTTTGCTCTACTCCCTGCCCTCCCCTTTCAGACTCCGTTCCAACCCCGATAGTCGGGTACTGCTCCATCGTTTTGTGGTAAACGAACGTGATGTCCTGAAGTTGAAGACAAGTTGCTCTCATTTGCTCCGTGTGAGTGCTGCTCCCTGGCTTTGAGCAGGTGATGCACTTCCGACCTGCACCCCACTCATTTTTTCCCATCATTTCAAGATCGAACAGGTGACACTTATCCGCGCGCGCGCACATACACACACACACACACACACACACACGTGGCATCACTCTTGGATGCCACTGGCTTTGAGTCGGTGCTGGACATTGGCACTATGTGGCCCACGTGACGTTGTTCGTTGGCTCTGAGCACGTGCCACGTGGCAATCTGCTCCTCAGTTTTTTTTGTTTTTTGGCACTTCAAGTCGCATAGGTGATACTCATCCGCTAACACAGTCACACACACACACACACACACACACACACACACACTCCTCTTTCATATATTTTTCTTTTTTTTTTCCTTTCCTTTTTTGTTGGAAATGCCCCTGAAGTTTACATTTATTTGCGATTTGCCCCTTGGACGGCCACATACCCTGATTTGCCCCTGGGCCTCTGAACTCTCGTGCAGGCCCCTATCAGTGAGGGGCACAACTTTTCGGAATGCCCCTAAATTATCGGACCGGCGGTCCTATTTCCCCTGCTGTCTGTCCGATTTGCCCTTCTGTGGGGGAAGCATCTTCCTGAGATGCCCTCGAGCAGGGAGGTGTGACGAACTGTTTTCTGTAACCGCGCGACTTTTTGCGCGAAGCTGCTTCGGGGTTCGGGAGGGTCGGTCGTGTGAAGTGCATGGGAATGGGTCGGGTCTGGCCAGTTGCATGGATGCCCTCGCTTCTTTTTTTTTCGGTTGTCGGACCAGGGTCGGGGAAATCCCGCGCTGACCGTTGAGTGGGCGCGCCTTAGCAAGCGCGGTGAATAATTGTTGCCATAGCTTCTTTCTTGCTCTACTGTGAGATTGGGAGTTTTGGGCGCGATGTCGGAGCAAATACCCCGTGGTTTTTCAACGTCGGACGCTGTCTGACTCTTTCCTTGAATTGGTGGACTTGATGAGACTAACGTTTGCCAAAAAGTTTATTCAGACCTGACCTATGACCGAGAGATGAAAAATTTTTTGAGCTTTAGTCCGGACGCTGATGGCGTCCGAATGTAACGATGGTAGTTGGCAGTACTCCGCTCTTGTCGAGACCGCAGAGGTATGTGCGGGCATGAGAACGGTAAAACTAGACCTATTCTATCTAAAATAATGTCGCACAGCTGCTAAGCCGCGCGATTCAGTGCCTAAGTAGGCTAAAAAGAGGGATGTACAGCTGGCGCACCCGGTTAGAGCGGCGAAAGGAGCGATGCAACCGCATTCGTCTCGACGGTTCGCGGGATACTTAGCATCGTTCCAAGTTGTCTCTTGGATTATGCTTTTTGTTTTATCTCCTGCGTGACATAGTCGGGAAGGCTCCCGCGCTTTGCAAAAAGGCGGGGGCCGATGCGCTCGACAGGTGGCGCCGTTGCCGGGGATAACGGCAAACTACCGTTGTCCGTAGCGGAACGACACTCGGGTGATAGATTAATTGATCATATTCTCATTTCTAAGAGTTTATTATTTTATCATCATTGATCTATTTCGTATCATTTTATCTCTATGGATTATGTGTTAATTTTATTATGAATGATATTTTGGCTATCTTGAACAATTCAGTTGGATGTAAATTCTTAATGTTCGGATATTAATTGAGTCATACTTTGTTATTATTTTGATATTCATCAATTTTATCAATAAATTTTGAGTATTGTGTTGAGGATTATCGTCTTTCATGAAATATTTTAATCGTATACCTTATCATAAACTTTGATGTATCCTTTCAGTTATAATTTTAGTAGAGAAAATTTATTGTGCAAATTATTGTAAGGTACAACTATTTTGAAATATTGTCAACTAAACGTTGACTTTCTTTTGATATTGTCTTAAATATTCATTTTGTCATGCATCTGATATTGAAATGATGTACATTTCAATCGACCAGTTTACCCGGACTCCCATTCATTTTGAGATTATCCGTTTTATATATATGTGATGCATTTTTATGATTGAAGGCATCTGATCTATTGTTAAAGATTTATTTTGCTTGGATCGTTGTGAAATTTTGTGTGAAAACATTTGTTGTAAGTTGTATTTCTCTTTTTTTTAATTTTTGAAGTAAGTTTTGAAGGCGTTATTATGTCACGACAAATTTCTGATGGATTTGTGAGCTCCCTAGGTGGTAGTGAGGCCCACGCCGGAGCTGTGCTTCTGGTCCATAGTTGGATGCTGTCTTCTATATCCTATGTGGTTTGAGGAAGAAAGACTACACTATCGCTGAAAGGGAGGAAGGTGTTGAGATCTTGTTAGAACGTTGCCTGTAAAGGTAGGCGACTATTGTTTGTCATGGGGGGAGGAGTAGCTACCTAACCTCGTGTCAAGCATGGTCACCGTACCTCTATGGTCGGGGTCTAGCTAGCCTCGGTTATTTGAGGTGGGACAGTTCTAGTTTACATGCAGGGGACTAATGGGGTCGAAGACACTGGACAGAGGGAATGTGGTGAGGCTCGTATCTAAAGCGGGGCTTGATGTCAAAATGTTATCCTCATATGGATTACACCACCCCTCGACACATTCACAAGGGGTTCAAAAGTAACGGGCATGATAATTTATGTGAATTGGAATGAGGATCATAACTTGGTCGGGGAACTTTGGACGAATGGTTTCTCTCATATGGTTGGTTCAAATTTTTTTTGGACCGCCCAAGAGGTTAATTATTTTAAAGGACATGTCAGGGAGTTAAACCTGACTTTTTTAGATAAATGGATGTGTCAACCAATTGGGGTTTTGAAGGCTAGCCGGGGGTTTTCCGGTACCATTCTGAGAGACTAAATGATGTTTTGAGTAGCCGCCAGTGGGATGATGTTTGGATCATTCTGAAAAAGTTCCTCTCAATTGAAGGCTTCCAGGGGCTAGACCTGGGTCCAAGTTTTGATAAGGCTTGTCAGAGGCAATATCTGGTATCATTCCATCCACATATGATTTGTAGTAAGTGAGGCTCCTGGAGGCTAAATCCAGTTTTGTTGTATTAAGTGAGGCTCCTGGAGACTAAATCCAGTTTTGTTATTGTACTGTTGTAAATTGGTGAAAAAGTTTCGTCTTAGTTCCGGATGATTGTGCGAATTGTTGTGTATTGTGATCGTTGCTTTCACGTGAAAATTTTATAAGGATCCTTATTTCTATTTTGATGGTGAACGACGGGGACGTCGTTCAATGGGGTCCGGGAATGCTATCGGGGCAAATACCCTGACAAGGGTATTTGTCTTGATTTTCAATGTCGGACGTTGTCTGACTCTTTTGTTGAATTGATGGACATGATGAGACTGACGTTTGCCAAAAAGTTTATTTAGACCTGACCTATGACCGAGAGATGAAAAGTTTTTTCGAGCTTTAGTCCGGACACTTATGGCGTCCGAATGTAACGATGGAAGTTGGCAGTACTCCGCTCTTGTTGAGACCGCAGAGGTATGTGCGGGCATGAGAACGGTAAAACTGGACCTATTATATCTAAAATAATATAGCAGCCGCGCGATTCAGGGCCTAAGTATGCTAAAAAGAGGGATGTACAGCTGGCGCACCCGGTTAGAGCGGCGAAAGGAGCGATGCAACCGCGCCCGTCTCGACAGTTCACGGGATACTTAGCATTGTTCCCAAGTTGTCTCTCGGAT